CTTCAGAACTGTTGTGATAATATGGTGGTCAAAAAAGATTCATTTTTCCGTTATGGGGATCAGATTATTTTGAAAAAAAAAATACCAGACGCCTTTGATCTTTTTGGTTGAATGAAGCCATTTACATGAAATAGTTTATTCTTGAGCCATTTTTAGTGGATGCATACTTGTTGAAACTAAAAGAACTTTTTGTAATGAGAGGCAAATCAAAGTAAAAACAATATCATGGGGAACCTTGACTGGAAAAGGAAAAAATAAAATGTTTCAGAGGGAGGAATAATTTGAAGAGAAAGAAGGATAAACTGTTTGAGGTTTCTTATTTTTTAGCCTCGGTTCTCTTTGTACCACGTCATTAAAATTATAGAATGAATGTTAGCTGGAAGAAAACTTTAACAGATGTAAAGAGAGAAGTGTAGAAAGATTGTGAGTGGTCCTGGGTTACCCAGTCAGTGGGGGAAGAGCTGGTACCGAGGTCCAGTCCACTGTTCCCACTCCAGTGGATGCTTCCTGGAACTAGGAACGGGCAAGGTGGAGCCCCTAAGCACAGCATAGCCCTCCTCTTCTGTCAGTGGTGTCAGTTTGCTGATGGAATGTTTTGACTCCACATCTCTAATAAATTTTATAAAGATTGCTAGGGGTTTCCTAATTTTGATAAATATTTGAGGTTTCATTTATCTGAAAATGAAAATAGTAAATTGTAAAGCGAAAATAGAACTATTTCAGATCACTAATCCGTATCATCAATGTCAGCGCATGTGTATAGATTGTAACATTTGCATTTGAAGCCACTGACTTGCAAATTACTTCCTCTTTCATTTATCTACCCCCAGTGCTACCAGCTGTTCAGGTTACAAGTCCAAGAGGGTAGAGGAAAAGATGACTAATATTGAGCAATATTTTCAGTATTTTGGCTTAGAAGCCGCTTTCTATTCATTGCTCCCAGTATGGGGCAGCCCTGTATTTGGGTTTGGTTTACAATTGTCCATTGAATACACTCAGGTTAAAGGTGATCAGTGGAATTTTTACGAGCATGATTTCTCAGCCTTGGCACTATTGACATTTTAAGTGGGATAATTGTGGGAAGCTGACCTGTGAGTTGTAGAATGTTTAGCTGCGTCACTGGCTCTACCCAGTAGATGCCAGTTTTCCCTAGGTCATCATAACCAAAAATGTCTCCTGACATTGCCAAATACCCATTCGATATACCCACTGGATGCCAGTGGGCCGGCCCTCACCCCCGGGCTTGGTGAAGTGAAGATGGTGGGGGCGGGCAGTGTCAGAATTGCCCCATGTCCAGAATCTCAGATTTAGAGCTTTGTCTTGTAAATTTCTGATGCGAGATTGTTTAGTTGGCTGTGAGATAATGTTATCTCTTATTTTCATTTATCGTTTGTACAGGGGGCCCTTCTGCTTGGAAGGCACATTTGACACATTTGATTCCGGAAGGGAAAGAGGATTTACAAAAGTTCTGTGTTTTCACACATTCTTTCTCTTCCTTCATTCTCTACCCTACCATTTCTTCCAGGGCCACCTTTTCCTTAGTTATCCTGCGAGCTCATTTATTGGTTTTAAAGGCTGCTTCTGTCTTTAAGGAGAAGGAAACACATATATGTATATATGTATATATACATACAATTGACCCTCATTCTTCGTAGATTCTGTTGGTAAATTTGCCTACTTGCCTGCTTTGTAACCCCTAAAATAATACTCATGATGCTTTTGTAGCCATTCGTGGACATACAGAGTGGTGAAATATTCAAGTTACCCAAATACGTATTCCTAACTGAGATAAAGTAAGATGAAGTTCTACTTCCTTGTTTCACTTTTTATACTATAAACAAGTGTCTTTTTTGAGATCTGTTTATTGCCATGTTTTTTGCATTTCTATGCTTTTTGTTGGTGATCTTAGTGTTTAAAATTGTCCCCAAGCATAGTGGTAAAGTGCAGGCTAGAATTCGTAAATGCAAGAAGGGCGTAATATGCCCTACAGAGAAAATACATGTGTTAGAGATGCTTCGTTCAGGCTTGAGTTACTGTGGCTGCTGGTCATGAATTCAACATTAATGAACCAACAATATATGTTAAATAAAGTTTAACATATAATAATAAATATGTTAAACAAAAACACACAGAAGACAAGGTTGTATATTGATCAGTTGATGAAGATGTTCTCACTGTGGGTTCCTGGCAACCTAACAGTGTTTCCCCTCAGAGCTGCAGTCCAGTGTTCCCTACTTCAGTGTCATGGCAACTTTGTACAACCTACCTGCCGCGTATAACAAGAAGGGTTCTGTGTGTGTGTGTGTGTGTGTTTATTTGTTTGTATGGCAAGGGGATTAACTAATACAGGCAAGATTTTGAAAGAAGTGGGACAGGATCCTGTGAAGAGCACAGTGGAAGAATTAGCTTTAAACAGAAGGGAAGCCCGGAACTTTCTTGGTGATCCAGTGGTTAAGACTCCACGATCCCAGTGCAGGGGTCCTGGGTTCGATCCCTGGTCAGGGAACTAGATCCCGCATGCCGCAACTAAAGATCCCACGTGCTGCAACTAAGACCCGGTGCAGCCAAATAAATTTAAGAGAAAAAAAAAGGGAAGCCCTTCTAAGACACTACTACTGACGATTCCCCTCTTGGAATTCCATCCTTTCAGCTTTTTTCATTCTGCTTTTATCTCTCTAGGAACTTTTTGTTGGACTGCACTTTTTCCTCATTTCTCCTTTTTGTTTTTGTACCCCCAGGTTTGATCCTGTGATTGATCTGCTCTCTAAGAAACTTTATCCTAATGGCTTTACCAGTCACCTTTGTATAGAAGATTTTGCTGTTTCTTTTTCATCATAACCTCAAAAAATATTAAACTACAATTAGTGTGCCTATTCCATGCCACACATCTAACCTCATAAGTAGCGGAGAAGGGACTTTTGAACCAGGGTCTTCTTACAAAGGCCATGTTCTTTCCTTTATACCAGAGGTTGGCAAACCATGGTCCTCAGACCAAATTTGGCTCACTGCCTGTTTTTATAAATAAAGTTTTATTAGAATACAGCCATGCTCACTTGTTCTTTGGCTGCTTTCACACTACCAACGGTGGCAGAGTTGAGTTGCAGCAGAGACTGTGTGGACTCAGAAAGCCGAAAATATTTACTGTCTGGTCCATTACAGAAAAAGTTTGCTGACCCATTCTCTGTACCATGCTGCCTCTCTCCTAAGCTTTAATTCCACATGCTCGTTGGACATAGTAAACCTCTGTCTGTGGATTTTATTCTAGAACTAACTCAGAACAACCTTTATATTATGTTCACCAGTGAGGAATTAGGACAGGGCATTGCAGGTATGGTTTGTCTCTTCCCTGGAGTCTGGGGCCTCAGCTGAGAAGGTATTGGGGGTAGAATCATCTAGAGCAGGAGGCAGAAAACTAGGGCCCTCTGATCATTTTTGTAAATGAAATTTTATGGGACAGAGCAACATCCATTTATCAATTGTCTATGGCTGCTCTGTCCCTATAATAGCGTTTATAACAAAGACTGTAAAGCCTACAGTACTTAATATTTAGCCTTTTAGAGAAAAGTTTACTAACATCTGATCTAGAGGCATCTTCACTGTCTTATCTGGCAGTTGATGTTGGCTCTGAACTGGGGCTTTTGACCAAAGCCCCTACATGTGGCCTCTCCACAAAGCCTGGGCTTTTTCACCAAGGTAGCTGGATTTCTTATATGGCAGCTCAGGGCAGTGAAGGCAGTGTCTCAGCAAACAAGGAGGAAGCTGAAAAACCTTTTCTGACTTAGCCTTAGAAATCATGCAGTGTCACTTGTGCCACATTCTGTTGGATAGAAGCAGGTCACAGGCCCGTCCAGATTCAAGAAAAGGGCACATAGGTCCCCCACACAGCTCTTGATAGGAGAAGCATCGAAGACTTCGGGACCGTTTTTCCAAGCTGCCACAGACTTCCCGCTGTTATCTGAAATTCAGTGTGTGATATTTCCCCACATCAAACCTCTTTTCGGACTTTTCTCTTTTGTTCAATAGCACCATCATTATTTCAGGCTTCTGGGCTTGAAACCTTAATCATCCCTGTTTTCTTTGTCCATTTGACACCACAATTTCTTTTTTTTTTTTTTCTTTCTATCTTTTGAATGTCTTTTATTCTCACTACTGTCACCAGACCTACTGTACCACCCTAGTAGAACCTAAAATGCACTGTGTGCTCACTGGTGTCTTCCAGCTCAGTGTAGTACACCGTGAGAATAGAGTGTGTGTGTGTGTGTGTGTGTGTGTGCATTTTAATCTGTAGATTTCATCAAATTCTCAAGGGGCCAGTTACCCCAAAAGAGTTTAACAGCCATGTGTTGAGGGTGAGGCCCCAAGACTACCCCCACATTTGGAGATGCGTTCGAAGGACTCAGCATATGACGTGGCTAAGGTTTATTACAGTGAAAGCATACTCAATAGAATCAGCAAGGGAAAAGAAACAAGTAGAAATCTGGAGAAATTTATGCACAAGCTTCCTTATAGTCTCTCCTTCCTGTGAGGGGACACACCAAGCATGTTTTCTCTCTAGCAGTGAAAAATGTGGTAACTTTGTGCACTGTTTCTGCCCAGGGAAACCCATTAGAAACTTAGGCCCAAGGTTTTTGTTGGGGGCTGGTCATGTAGGCACTCTCTGCCTAGCAAGTACCAAAATGCTAGACTCCTAGAAGGAAAGCAGGTGCTCGGCATAAACCTCATTTTTTGCACAAAGCAGGCATAGTGTACCATCCTTATCAGTTAGGGGAAGGTGGAAACACTCACAATCCAAGTTCTCAGATCCTAACTGAGGGCCAGTCCTGTAAGCAGGCCTTCCTAAAAAGAGCATCCTCAGGCTTGCTATAACTTGGCCACACAAAAGCACTTGCACATTCTTGACACGGCCCCTAATTTCATACCTGGTCTTTCCTCCCATCTCTTCTCTGTCTGATTCCTGTACCTCTTGTGGGATCCAATCCAAGATCCACCTCACCCTATTCCCTCCCCTTCTGCCCCTCCCAAGGAGCTGATAATACTTCTCCATTCCATCTCTCACAGAGCACTCTCCACTGAACTTTTTTGACACTCCTTGTACCACTTATATGGCCCTTAGCCTATAGTATCTTATTACTTCATATTTTTAATGTCTGTGCGGCCTCACAAGTTATAGTGCAAGCCCTTTGAGGTTAAGCACCTTTCATGTGCCCCCGTACTACCCTATGTATCCCTTAATCATAGCATGTAACTTTTTACATGATGGTTGCCTGTAACGTGTGCTTCTTGAGAGCTGGGGCCATGTGAAGTGCAGGGCCTAGTACTATGTCTCTCCTGCAGTAGGCACTAATTAAAAGTTTACAGAAATTAAACCTCTTTGTATCCCCCATCCTACCCAAGCAGAATGTCATACATTCTGATAAATATGATTGCTAGAGAACTCAAATTACTCACATCATGATACATCATTAAAATTGTTTTCAAGTAGAATCTTTCCCTATTAATAATCCTCTGTATTTTGAGACTAGTAGTAATGTAATGCATGTACTGAATTAGGTTTTCTAAATTTCATTATGATCTCCTCACTGGATCTTAACCTTTTTCGTGGCAGGGCGCAGACTCATCTGAGCGTGTCATTGCTCCCATGCGGTGGGGCTTGGTCCCATCTTGGTTTAAAGAAGCTGATCCTTCCAAGCTGCAGTTCAACACTAGCAACTGTCGTAGTGATACCATGATGGAGAAACGGTCCTTTAAGGTAGGTAGCTGGTCTAGGGAAAAGGCACATATTCGTTATTTTATCTAACAGAACTATTAGTGCCTTATATACCTGAGAAATAGTTCCAAAGTGTGTTCCCAGTTATTAATGTAGAGTGTTGTTCTGTTTATTACTGTGTGACAGAGCATGCCAAGACAACAGTTTATTATTTCTCATAATAAACCATGGGCTGCCTGGGCTCAACTAGACAGTTTTTACTCAACCAGAGGTTCTCATGTAGTTCTAATCAGATGACAGCTGCATGTCCCAGGTGGCCTCTTAACCCACATGTGTGACACCTCAGCTGGGATGAGTAGAACAACTGGAGGCCTGTCCCTGTGCCTGCTAGGGGGTGTCAAGGTGGTCAGGCACCTCACACGGCATCTGGCTTACCCAGAGTTCACCATCCAAGAGAGCAGGGCAGGAGCTGCAGGGCTTTGTGACCTTGCCTTTGAAATCATAACAGCGTCACTTCTGCTGCGTTCTATTGGTCATACAGAGCCAGCCTGACATCACTGAGGGAGGGGACTACATAGCATGTGAATATTGGTAGGCGTGGTTCTCTGTGGGGCCAGCTTTGGAGACTAGCTACCACAGTGCCTGTTTCCTGCTACGTACATTATTTAATCTTTTCAGCATCTGTGTAAGTGTGACTTTATACATAAGAAATGTGACATACAGAGGAATTAACTGCTCTGAGGTCACACATTGGCAGATCTGAGATTTTTAAGTCTGTGAAACATGTTTCTGTCACTAAGACCATATCTTGCTCATGTTTTCCCTCAGGTGCCTCTGGGAAAGGGAAGGCGCTGTGTTGTTTTAGCAGATGGTTTCTATGAGTGGCAACGATGTCAGGGAACAAACAAGACGCAGCCCTACTTCATCTACTTCCCCCAAATCAAAACAGAAAAGGTATCATCAGCAGTGTGTATCTGTGTCTATGTCTTTGTGTGTTTGGTATGTTCTCTGAGCTTCTTGGATTTTTGGTTTGATGTCTTTCCTGTTTTTTTGAAAATTCTCAGCCATTATCTATTCAGCTATTTCTTCTGCCCCATTTTCTCTTCTCTTTCTGACATTCTAATTATATATGTGTTAGTTTGATATCGTCCCATAGTTTTTGGATGTTCTCTTCTGTATATTTCATTCTTTTTTCTTTGTGTTTCAGTTTGAGTGATTATTGACTTGTTTTTAAGTTCACTCTTCTTTCTTATTTCACTGAAATTGCTTATCTGCCTATTCATGCATGTTGTCTACCTTTTCTATAAGAGCTATTATATATATATATGTAATATATATAGCTAATATATATATATAGTTATTACACTTAAATTCCTGTCTGATAGTTCAGCATTTGGGAAATGTAATCTCTTGAGTCTGGTCCTGTTGATTTGTATATATCTTGGCAGTTCATTTTTGGCTTTTTGTATGTCTTATAATTTTTTTATTGATTGCCAGACATAGTAGATAGGACAGAGACTGAGATAAATGATATTTATGTCTGGAAATGGATATGTTTATTCTTTTTTTTTTTTTTTTTGGCTGTATTGAGTCTTTGTTGCTGCGCGCGGGCTTTCTCTAGTTGTGGCGAGCGGGGGCTACTCTTCCTTGCAGTGCGTGGGCTTCTCATCGCGGTGGCTTCTCGTTGCGGAGCACGGGCTCTAGGCACGTGGGCTTCAGTGGTTGTGGCACGCGGGCTCAGTAGTTGTGGCTCAGTAGTTGTGGTGCACGGGCTTAGTTGGTCTGCTGTATGTAGGATCTTCCCAGACCAGGGATCGAACCCATGTTGCCTGCAATGGCAGGCGGATTGTTAAACTGCGCCAGCAGGGAAGTCCCCGTTTATTCTTTTATTAGGCCGTTAATGTCCGAGGTTGAGTTGATCTTGTCCGGAGCTGAACTGGGTTTGGTTTTGTTGTGCATCACAGGCTTTAAATATTTCTCTGCTGTCACCTTGTGTTCAGGGTAAGGGTTGGTTTTCCAGAGGGTTTTTCTCAATAGTCCTGCTCCCTGCAGCTCTTGTTACTTCCCTTTGAGCCTGTGCCTTCGAGAGGATCTCTCCATGCTCTTGCCCCTCCCCCAGAAGTAGACTGCTGTTGCTTGTCATCTGGTGTGCAGGGAGGTGGAGAGAGCTCTCTGTGGCCTTGGTTCAGTCTCAGGCTGAAGCAGAACTGTGTCCCCGGCTCTCAGGCTCAGGCTTTCTCAGTGATCCTGCTTCTCCAGGGGCATAGAGGGTTTTTTCTTTTGCCCTTTTCCAGCCTCAGGAGGTCTTTACCTGTATCTTAGGAGCGATAGGATTTATCACTTTTACCCTGGCCCCTTAAGCTTTTTGTTCCTTAGAGGAGAAGTGACCAGGTAAGGCTTCTCACCATCCCTGAGGCAAAAGAGCTCCCCGCGTCTAGCACGCATTGGCAAAGAAGCTTTCTCCAGTCTCCTGCCCCCAGTCTCTCTCGTGGGCACCTGCGGAGGGTGGTCTGCAAGCTGAGGCAAACTTCCCTGATGTCTGCAGCCTCCAGGGGTTCTGTGCCCTCAGGCTAGCCCACACTCTGCATCGAGCAATTTGTTGATAATTTTATCTGAATTCTTACCTGCTGTATGAAGGAGGCCTTGTTTTCCTTCTGTTACCACTGGGAAGCCAGTACTGGTGTCTCATCTTCTCTTGGATGACCCTGTCTTTCCATAAAGTTCAGGCTAATTGGTTGCCCTGTGACCTCAGTTCTCTGATGAGTTTAAGTTATGGTTATTTAGATTCTATACCTTTTCTTTTTTTTTTTTTTTTTTTT